TATATGTATATATATATATATGTATATATATATATATATATGTATATATATATATATATATATATACTGGTGGAAATGACACAATGGGGGTTAGTGCTTGTCCTATGTTAGAGCTTGAGGATATAGCTCCATCAAAGTAGAACAGCCAGTTTTCACATTTTGAGAGATTTCCAGCTTAAAAATTTGTTCCGTAGAAACATTTTGGCAAGGCTCTAACCGTTTCAAGGTATTCTTGCTGTGTATTGAGACATTATCACCCATAGACACGAAAATATTCCAGGTGATAACAACAATTGTTGCTGATGTGCACGTTTGTACAATTGGATTATCGGTGCTGCTGGGTGGATTCTTCATTTATTTTCTATTCATTTATAAAAATTCACTGCCAGCAAACAAGCATTTTCAGCGACTTACCTTTTTTCTAAACAGTATTATTTCCTTTTTCTTATTTTGTTTTAATTTAATCACTTGTTCCAAAACAGACCCAGTTCTGGCGGACAAGTAGTTTGGGTCAGTGTAGTAGGCTTGAAAGGGATCGGACTCCTCGTCTTCATCAATTGCGATGTGCTGAGAGGCCTTTACATGTTGGTATCTGTACTCCAGTGATCCATTACCTTACTCATGGCCTTCGTTTTTCTGTAGCGGATTTCCGATTTTTATCGTTTTTTTAGAAAAGACCACAAAAATGTTGAAGGATTTTAATACAAAAGAATTGAAATTAAGTGATATTATTGAGTGTCCCTATATTTTGGTCACAACTAGCTAGATCCACTGTTCCTGAACTGCATACCTTCAGTTGGTGCCCACCGCCTTTCAGTGGCTTGCGAGTCGTTTTATTAGTCGTCTTCTCCCTCATGGGTATCATTTATTAAAATACGATGTTAACCGTTGTTGGCAAGACGAGCAGCTTGTTCTGGCCGTCGGATTTTGTTTTCTCGCATGGTTCTGTACGCCGTTCACCTGTCGAAAAGTCTGATTAGGGGAATGCGCGTTAGTAATCAAATTGAGAAAAAGGAAGTAAAACAGCGGATAAAAGGAAGGAGTAAGTAAGACGGAAGAGAAATTTTTTTATTTTTATGTGGTCATGAAGAGATACGCCAAACAGCTGTGGAATTTTTAATAAATGCTCAAATACACATTAACAAAAATTTAGAGGTTCTCATTTCAAAATATTACAGATAAAATGACAATCTATTCGCAAATAATATTCGACGTAATGCCACCTTCTGATCCGTGTGTTGTCCTGGAAGGAACGAATGGAAGCTGTGAGACGTTTCCAACGGTTTCGACCGAATTCGAGGCAGTAGAAGAAAACGCCGAAAAAATGGATGGCAGGGCGATGGAAGAGCCCAAAAAAGGAGTTTTGAGAAGAATGCGTAAGTCGGCCGTTGCTGACGTAACCAAGCAGCAATGGCAACAGAGTTTAAGAAGATCAACAGCAGAATTAAACGGTGATGCAATTTTGTAACGGTATAAAATAATCAGTGGTGTATTCAGCATCCAGAGATGAGGAATGCTTTTCCTAATTTCGGATATTTTTTTTCGGCTGAATTATGCCCCCCCCC